CATCCAGCAACAACAGAACACACATTCTTCTAAAGCACACATGGAACATTCTCAAGGATAGACTAAATGCCAGACAACAAAAGAAACTTCAATCAATTATTTTTCAGATTAAACTTTTTATTTTGCGATAAGTATAGATTTATGTGCATCTGTAAGAAGCAACATGGAGAGATCCCACATATTCTTTACCTAGTTCCCCCTAATGGTAACATCTGGCAAAACATCTTGTATGGTATCACAACCAGGATATTAACGATGCATCAAGAGAGAGAATATCCCATCACAAGGATCCTTGTTATGCCCTTTTATACCCACACTCTTTCTCCTTCAACTACCTCCTTAACCTTTGGCAACCACTAATCTGTTCTCTATTTCTACGATTTTGTCGCTTCAAGAATGTTACATACTGTTGGCTCTCTGCATCTATGGGTTCCACTTTCATGGATTCAACCAACCATGGACTGACATTCTGCAACTGGCTGAATTCATGGATGCAGAATCACTGGATAAATACACTTGACAGTACTGTGTCATTTTGTATAAGGGACTTGAGTATCCTTGGATTCTGGTGTCTGAGAAGGTCCTGGAACCAATCCCTATAGATATTGAGGGATGATTGTACACAGGATCAGATAGCAGGTGACATTTTAGAATTGACTTTTTTCACTCAGCATGGTTCTAGGAGATTCTTCCAGGTGTTGCATGTATCAAGTCTGTTCTTTTTTTATTGTTAAGTAGTATTCCACAGTATGGATGTACCACAGTTTAACTACTCACCAGCTGAAAGACATCTAGGTTGCTTTCCATTTGGGTCTACTACAAATCAAGCTGCTATAAACATTTATGTACAGGTCTTTATGTGATCACATTTTTCGTTTCTTGGAATAAGTGCCAAGAGTACAATTGTTGGCTTATGTTAGTTGCATGTTTTTAAAAAAAATTTTTTTTTTTTTTATTGCCAAACTATTTTACAAAGTAGCTGTACCATTTCATTTACCCCAGCAATGTAAAGAGTTATCATGTTCCTCAGTATCCTTGCCAACATTTGGCAAGGATATTTGCCAACATTTAAACATTTTTAAAGCCATTTTGTTGGTATGTAGTGCTATCTCTTTGTGGTTTTAATGTGTAATTTCCTAATGTCTAATAACATTAATATATTTTCATGTGCTTGTTTGCCATCTTTATCCTATTTAAGGAAAAGTTTATGTATATTTCACGTTTTCTTAGAGAGCTTTTTTTGCTATTCTTTACATATTCTAAATGCTAGTTCTCTGTCAGATACGTGGTTTGCAAACATTTTCTCCCAGTGTGTAGCTTGTCTTTTCATTCTCTTAACAGAATCTTTTTGTAGAGCATATGTTTGATTTTTGATGAAGTCTAATTTATCAGTTTTTCTTTTTTTTTTTATTGTTAAAAGTAGCTTTATTGAGATAGCTTTGACATACAACAAACTGTATATTTAAAGTGTACAATTTTTTTTTTCACTTCTTATTTTTTATTTTTATTGAAGCCAGGGTGAGTCAGCTCCTTATCAGTTTTTCTTCTTGGAATTTTGATAGGAATTGCATTAAACCTGTATATCAGTTTGAGTAGAACTGACTTTTTATTTTTTTTTTAGAACTGATTTTTTAATTATGTTGAGGCTTTCAATTTATGAACATGGTATGTCTCTATTTATTTGGGTCTTTGATTTCTTTCACCAACATTTTATAGTTTTCAGCATATAAATACATATGTTTTGGTAACTTTACATCTAAATTTTTTTAGTGATTATAAATATATTTTAAATTTTAGTTTGGATTAGTCATTGATGGTACATAGAAATGCATTTGATTAAGGAATTGGCTCACACAACTATGGAGGCTGACAGATCATATATATATATATTGTATATATATATATAGGATATATATATCCTACTGATATATATATATAATATATATATATATCAGAATCAATAGGATATATATATCCTATATATATATATATATATCCTGTTGATTCTGTTTCTGCAGAGAACCCTGACTAACATGAGCATCACCACCACCACAATCACCCCTCTGCCTTTTTTGCTTCAATTTAAGAGTCATAAATTGGAGGGAAGGGACTGACTACAGAGGGGCATGTAACAATTTGGGGGAGATAAAAAAAGAGTTTCTGATAATCCACTCTGCCAGACCAATAGATAGAATGCCGGCATCTTTCTGAGGGACGGCCTTTTAGGCCTACTGAAAAGATGACACGGACGAGAAGCTATTGAAGTGGTCAGGTTCAAGGTACTGGCCTCTGAATCCCCTCTTGTTGGTTGCTATACAGGAATTGAAGATCAGTGCCACTGACCAATGTTAAAAGGAAGGTATTGAGCTGCAAGACACTTTGGATGTATTGGCTTCCACTTTGTCCCTTGAACACATCATGCTTATTTCTACCTCTACCTCACTGCCTGTGTGAGTCGAGGTTCTTGGTTGCAACCAATAAAAACAAAAACAAAAACTGACTCTTGTTGACTTAGGCAAGAGGCAATGGAGTTGAAATTATGTATAGAGAGGATGCTAACAGGCCAGATATAGGGAAATATGGGATTCCATGAGTATCCACAGAATTAAAAAGCAGGCAGCAGGTAACAGTATGGCAGACTATTTATTTCCAAAAATATCTACAGCAGTATTTCCAATCCTATAAGCTCTTCCAGAATCTTTCCACTTCTTATCATGAATGGGTCTACTTCTCCTCCCCTTGAACCAAGAGTAACTTTGTAATTTCTTTGATGAATAGAATGTGGCAGAGTGACACTGTTGACCCCCAATCCTAGGTCATAAGGGCAATATAGCTTCCATCTGACTCTTTCATGAGATTCTCCCCCTTGAAACCCAGCCACCATGTTGTGAGGAAGCCCAGGCTTATGTAGAGAGGTAGTAGGTACATATTTTGGCCCATAGCCCCAGCTTAGGGTCAGTCAACAGCCAGCGCTGACCACCAGAAAGGTAAGTAAACAAGCCTTCAAATGATCCCAGAGCTAGGTTTTGCGCAGCCCCAGCTTCACTAGGTTGAGCAGGGGTGGCTATCTCTACCAAGCCCTGCCCAAATTGCAGGTTCATGAGAAAAATAATTATGGTCATTATTTTAAGCCTTTATGGGTTGGTTTGTTACACAGTGACTGGTAATAGGAACATTCACAACCATGTCATAGCAGAAATCACATGGCTATGACACTGCCCAGGGCTCTACCACCATTAAATAAATTAGTATGTGTACTTGAAACAGTTTCTGGCATGTAAGGAACTCTCTAGGAAACACACTCATTTAGGTTTTGATCATTATCTTTATTATCAAAATTTCAGCTTATACATCACTTCCTCAGAATCTTTCTCTGATGCCATTATCTCCCCACCATCTGGGGACAGATGGCCTTCAGTTTTATTTATTTATTTTTTGTCATGTGTCACTAAATTTAATTAGCTTATTTACTCACAAATTTGCTTATTTACCTGTGTCTCTCACTTTATTTTTTATACTTTTAAAAATGTGATTGAATACCTCTGTTTACCAGTTGGAAGGTAATCCCCTTAGTGCAGGGAACTTGGGATCTCACCACTCTGTCCTTGGGTTGAGCAGACTGCAGGGTGGTGGACATGCAGATGTGCTATCCAGACCATCCATCAGTGGAGGACTTCTTTCCCTAAATGCTAGAAGTGCTGTCTGCAGACAACCCTCAGCTGTCGGCCACTTTCAGAGATGGCCTTAGCTGTAGAGCTGCCCAAAGTCATGCTCATTTTGGGTCAAATTGGTGGCAGGTGGTGGCAGATAAAAAGGCCCAGCCATCTCAGCTAAAGCTGGGATAACTCTGACAGGTCATTCTAGCTCTAGAGCTGCCCATGGATACACCCAGGCTGTCACTAGGCCTGCATCATGGGTTGATTTCTCCTCTGGTCTCTTCTCCTCCTTCCAACCCCCTCCATAAGGTTGATCCCTAGGTCACCCGTCAGTCAACACCCTGCACTGTAAGTTCTATCTCAGAGTCAGCTTCCTGGGAAGCTCAGTCTAGGACAGCTGAGCTTAAGGGAGATGGGCAGTTGGTGTTTGCAGGGAGATTGAGGTATCTGGGGGCCCCGTAAGAGGAGACCATCTTGGATGACACATGGAGCTTCCCTGCTAAGAGGACTCCTTTGTAGTATGAGTGGGAGATGATCTTCTGCCCTGGTGGCAGGTGTTCAGCAGAGCTCCTTCTGTTCTTGGCAAACATGTAAGAGAAGTGAATGCACAGGGTGGAGGAGAGAGCCCTGGTCGGCTGCCAGGCTTTTATATTTATTCCCGGAGAAGTGGGCTGTGAGTGCACACTCTCACAGAACAACAGAGCTGGAAGGGTCCAGGACTTCACCATGCTTCTCAAATATTTCTTCCCAAATACCTCAAAGGGAAAGGAAGGTGAACTCAGACCCCTGGTGCAAGAAGACAGGTCATGTTTGCTAAATGACATCAAATATACTGAAGGGGTATGTGGGTCCCCATTTGAGAAGCTTGAATCTGAATGAGAAATCCAAAGCCAAGGCCTTAGAGCTCAATCTGGCTGGGGTCTGACGGAGGTCAGGACTTGGAATGAGGCTGGATCAGAGCTTAACATTGGATCAGAGTTCTGTTTGGGATCAGGATTCAGCCTGGGTTCAGGAGTTTATCACAAGTCAGGATTAGAGCTGTCTTGGACTAGGATTTTCTGGGGCTAGGTCAGGGTTTGATCTAGGGTTAATCAAGTCATGGTTTAGCTGTGGTAGGAGCCAGGACTCAATGTGAAGCCAAGATCTAGGATTCATTCTAGCATCAGGGTCTAACCCAGTCTAACCAATCATGACTAGTGATGGTTCCATCTAAGGTCATGAGCACAAGTTGGAACCTCATCTGAATTCCTTGCGAGGCCTGCTCAGGGCTTGGCCTCAGTCCAGGTATGGGCTTGATCTTAGGCTGAATGTAGCCTGGCATCAGGACTCAGTCCTGAAGCAAGCAGCTAAGCCAGCCTGTTGTTCTGCAACAGAGTCAGCAAATCACAACCTGTGGGCCAAACTTCGCATGCCACCTGTTTTTATAAATGCAGTTTTATTGCAACACATCCACACTTATTTGTCTACCCCTTGCTTATGGCTGCTTGCACACTGAACAGTAGAGTGAAGTAGATGAAACAGAGATCATATGGCCTGCAAAGTCCCAGATATTCACTATCTGGTCCTTGACAGTAAAAGCTTGCCAACCCCTGATCTAAGGGCTTGGAGGCCTCTCTGGCATGAGAAAGCTAGAACATGCCCTAACTCAGTGTTGAGAGCCTCCCTAAAGGTTATGGCGGTGTCTAAGAGACCACTCAAAGGACCATGGAGGCCTGAGCCATGGTCCCCACAGCCAGCTGACTAAGGCTTTGCCGTCTTGAAATCCCTGTTTGGCCTTTCTCCATGAAGGGCGCTGTCAGGGTGTTGCCCTACCACCTGACAGGTAATCCCTACCTGTACATTTTTCTTCACAGCTTCCAAAGTAGTATTTCCATCCACACTCTCCCTTGGGCCATCTCTCAATGTCCGCACCTATCCAGCCTCTGACCATGGTGCTGTCATTGGCTGCTGGGGTGTCTTCTGCTTTCAGTTGGAGCTGGAAGGACCTGCTCAGTTTTGTCCCAGTGAAGACAAAACCTTGGCCCAGCTGAGAGTGCAAAGGGGTTGAACTAGAGACATGACTAGCTGGCAGGTACCCCCATCACCTTCAGCTACTTTCCCTTCTTCAAACACACATACTCTTGACAGGACATGCTAGCTCCAGAGCTGCCTGTGGGTACAACCAGGCTGTCACTGGGCCTGTATCATGGGTTGATATCTCCTTCCTCCTTCTTCATCCCCTTCCCTTCCATGAGGGTTGATCCCAAGGTCACCCTTCAGTCAACACCCAGCATCCTAAGCCCCATCTCAGAGTCAGTTTCCTGGGAAGCTCAACATGTGGCAATTGAATTTAAGGAAGACACAGTTGGTGTTTGCAGGCAGAATGAAGTGTCTAGTGCCCCCAGCTCCCAAGGCCCCTTCCTGTTGCTCAATCTTAAGGAAACAGCTGCCTCCTCTGAACCTCCACCTACCTTTCTTATGTGGGTTGTTATTTAGTTGCTAAATTGTGTCTGACTCTTTTGCAACCCCGTGGACTGTAGCCCACCAGGCTACTCCCAGGCTATTTCCCAGGCAAGAATACTGGCGAGGGTTGCCATTTCCTCCTCTAGGGGATCTTCTTGACTTAGGGATAGAATTCATGTCTCTTGTGTTGTAGGTGGATTCTTTACACTGAGCCACTCTATGGATCAGCATTTAAAACCTCTGGATGGTTTGGAGAGGAGTCCTGGAATTTAGGACCTGTTTCATTAAAATGTACCCACTCATCTGGATTCTCCAAGCTGTCCCTGTGCTGAGTGGAATCATCAGAGAGATGTCTTCATAAGGCTTTGGTCACTAAGACCACCCATCAGACACTGTTTATGTGTTTGTCTGACCACCCTTCTGCAAAGACCCACTACACGAATCGTTCTCACCCAAATCATGCCCAGGAGGTGTCTCACTGCAGATGCGCCTGTTTTTTTGTTGCTCAGATTACTTAAATTATATGCTTAGTTACAATTCCTTGGCTATCTAGAGCATTTTGGAGCCGATTTCCATGTCTGATGCAGTCATCTTCAGGGCCTGGTGGTATCCTCTCTAGTCCTCATCCTAGTAGTTCCTGTTTTGCTTTGACACTAAGAGAGTATGCAGTTGTGTGCAGGGTAAGCTGCTGGGGAGTTTTTCAAAGTCAACACTATAGTTCCAAAGAAGTAAATAAACGCTTAGTGTACTGAGCTGGTCATATGTGACCATAGCTAGATTAGATTTGGGGCTCTATCCCCCAACACTCGATGATCCCTCCTCTATCTTCAGCTTCTTTCAGGCAACAGTAACCCTCCCCCCGGCCCCCAGCTGCTGGGCCTGTGTCTTCACTGAGGGAAATTCTCACATCACTTTAAGCCCAGTGTTTTTCAGGAACATGACTTTGGGGTACAATTTTGCTGGTGTAAATGGTGTGTACACGGGCTTCAGATCTGCCTTGAGCTCATCCCATGGTCATAAGCAAGGTTCTCTCCTCTGTGTAGGATGGAAGTGTTGAGGGATGTTTAGATGTCAGTGCCAACACTTTTGGGTTCTCTGTCAGAGCTAGGAGGAGTTTCTGGATCTGGCTGTGGTCAGAGCACTGAAGTGTCGAGAGACAAGCAATGAGAGCACAGGGATCAGCCAGGCTGATGGTGAGCGGGCAGGAGGTGGCACAGCTGGGTGGGCCGAGGTTACTGTGACACTCAATTCATCAGTCTCCCAGCAACAAGGGTGATGAGATGGAGGTGGGAGACCCAAAGTTTAAGGGTTACTGAGTCTAACACCTCATTTTACAGATGAGGAAACTGAGACTTAGGAAGGGAGGGACTTGCCCAAGTTCACAGAGCAGGGCAGAAGCTGAAGCGGGACTGGAATCCAGGCCTGCTGACTCCCATAGGGGAAGGGCAGAGAAGTGGGCAGGAGAGAAATAGGGACCTTCTCCTCCCTTCTCAGCCCTTCATGCCTGTCATTTAGCCGTGGCCACGTGGACGATCACAAAGCCCTTGATGTCCGGAGAGTGGGGGCTGACGAAGTCTACCTGCAGCTGCCGTGGGCCGCTCTTGAAGGGGGTGATCTTGAATTGGACCGAGGCCTTCTCTTGGGGCTCCAAGCTGGGCACACTGGGGAAGGAAGATGGGAGAAAGGCAGACCATCAGTCATGTCTCCTTCCTGAGCCTGTTCTGCCAGTCCATGGCACTCCAGAGCCCTCAGGATCAAGGTCATACCTTGTGGCTTGACATTCAAGCCTTTCAATATGCATTCAGCTTAGTCATCCCTTCCACTACTTCTCACTTATTTCAACCAGTCAGGCTAGTTTCCTCCCTGTGCCCTGAACATACCTTACACTTACCCTCCTCTAGGCTTTTGGATGGATTGTTCCTCCTACCTAGGGTGCCCTCCCCATTCCAATTACATCCAACGCCCAGATTAACTTTTACTTCTTCCAGGAGACCTTCCCTAACAATACCAGCCATGGAGACCTTTGACTGGGAAGGTCTCCACCATTCTTGATACCTGAAAAGCTCCCCAGGTCATCATTTAAGACCCAGTTTAAAGATCATTTCCACTGGGGATTTCCCCTGGTCCCACCCAACTCCCACTCAAAGGCTGCCTCTGAGCCCCTAGACTTTGGGGAATCCATCCTTTTGCACAAATCACACTGTCTTCATGTGAAGGGCCATATGTTGCTAGAGTCCTTCTCCAGGCAGAACTCCATCTGTTCATCTTGGTGTTTCCAGCAGTTGACATATGTGTCAGGGTACAGGAACATATGAGTGTGACTGAGTGAATGAATGAAAGAATGAATGAGTGAATGAATGACTGAGAATGAATAAGCAAATAAATGAGTACATGGATAATTTGAATATGTGTGAATGAGTGAATGAATGCATAAATGAATGAATGAGTGAATGAATAGGTAAATAAGTGAGCAAATTAAAGAAATAATATGGATGAATGAACCAGTCAAAACTGAGTCGAGTAGATAAATGAATGAATGAGTGAAAACATGAATAGAAGAGTGAATGAGTGAGTGAAGGAGAGAGTAAATGAATAGGAGTGAGTAAATGAATAAATAAATGGATAAATGAGAGAAAGTATGAATGTGAATGACTGGATTAGTTACATGATTGAATAAGTTAAATGATTAAATAAATGAAGAAATGAAAAACTAATGTGTCTAAGCAGTGGGCTGGTTTCTCCCTCCTCCCCTTGCTGGCAGTGTCTTTATGGCCCATTTTATAAGGAAGGCGGCCCTCCCACTCCAGGCTGACACTTACTCGATGCTGAGCTGTCCTTGGAGAAGGCCACTGCCCTCCACCATTAGCATACAGTCTTTCACTCTCTCCGAGAGAGGGTTAAGCACCATCACTTCCACTGCAACTTCCACCCCCACCACGGCTGGGCCAAGCACCTAGAGGGACAATATCCATAAGTTATACTCCCTCCTCCGCATTCTCCCAGGAAACCCATGATCCTGGCTGGGTCAGGGAATGGGGAATTAAACTTGTCTATCCTTTGCTTCTACCTACCCCATCACTGAGACCTATCATTATATCCACCCCCCTCCATTCATACCACTTGTCCCCATCCTTGAGAGCTGAAGCTAGAGCTAAAAGCACAAATCCCCAGCCTCTGATGCCCTCCTTTAGATCTGCAGGAGGCCTGCCAGGAAAAGGTGGCAGATTCAGACAGTAGTCACCTTGATGGTAATGAAGTCCTCCAGAGTAATGTCCTTCTCCACCAGGAGCTTCTCTCCTTTGGTCACAAGGCACATGGCAGCCAACAGGATCTTCTTGTCCTCTGTCAGGTCTTCCTTATATTGAGAATAAGATATGGCAATTGGGATCTTTTTCTCTGGAAGGGAAAGCAGAGGTGGGAATTGGGAGTCCAGTGTTCTTTTTCAAAGAACCCAGAAGAGGAAGGGAAGGTTCAATTCATAGTTACACTCTCTATGAACCTTGCAACCAATGTGAGACAGTCATTATTATCATCAGTTCACAGATTAAGAAACCTAAGGCTCAGAGAGGGTAATTTCTTGTCCAGTGTCACATAGCAAGTACATCAAGGAGCCAGGATAAGGTAGCATTCAAATTCAGGCCAGTCAGCTACCGTGACACCAGACTGTCTCTCTAAGAGCTTCTGGAGATGTGTTTAAAATTCCCCCAATCATTCCAAATGGAGATATCACAATCCATCAATGATTCATCCATCAGGAATTCACTCACTGTTCAATGAGCACCTACTATGTCCCAGGTGCAGAGAAGAAGGAGGCCAAAAGCCTCCCTCAAGCTTCCTACTCAATGAGGAGGCCAACTCCTTACAGCTTCTCTAAATCCTGTCTCCCCATTTAGACCCAGTTCTAGTCAGGCCCACCAACTGCAGGAAGCCTTCACTGATTCACTTACCCAAAGATCTTGTGCCCTCTGCCTTTGGAGCGCCTATAGTTCTGACCAATTCTGTGTCTTTCTCATCAGTCACAAACTCCCTGCTTATGTAATCTCTTCTTTTGAGCATGTGTCACACAGGCCATAGGTGACTGTTAGTCATATATATATATCTGGTGACTGTTAATCATATATATATATCTGATGACTGTATATTTTTTCTTTAAGGCACAGCACATTCTTTCCAGTTTGCCTAAGCTCTACCATCCCCTACTGCTTTATCACCACTGCTTCCTTTATTTCTGTTTCCTTCCTGTCCCTAAGGGCATCTGAGTATTCACCCTGTGGAAAAGATCCATAAATGTTTCAAACTCTCTCTTCCTCAGAGCTTTGCGTATAATACATGCCTCTTGAATGATCCACGAGTCAAAGTTCTACCTTATTTTAACAGGTTCTCTAAGTCTAGCAGGTTCTACCAGGAGAACCTTTACTACAACAACAATAATAATTAATAATTTTAAAGGCTAAATTTTACTGAGAGATTAAAGTGTGCTAGGGACTTGCAAGTACATTCATGGATTATCTCATTTAATCCTCACAACAATTGCATGAGCAAGTATTATTATCCCTATCTTATAATAATATCAACAATACTGATGATCACTACCATAAATCAAATGTTCTTTAGTGGTAGGAATTGTGAGAAATACTTTATATATGTTATATCATTTGTCCCTCATATGGTAGAGATGAGTGGTTCTCAAAGTGTGGTCCTGGGGCCAGCAGCATCAGCATCTCTAGGGAACTTATTAGAAGTACAAATTTTAAAGCTCCAGAATAAAGAATAACCAGATGCTCCCAATTATGCACATTAAAGAGAGCTTTGGATATTAGTTCAGACCATGGGAGAAGGGAAGAGAAAGACTGTTCCATACAATATTCAGAACAGAGCTTCATTAAGTTCTCTGGGTCATGAACTCCATTGACAATCTAATAAAAGTTGAGACTCTTTTCATTAACAAATGTTCTCAACAGTCCCATCAACCATCAGATATAACTGATAACTATAGACTACTTCATCCAACAAGAGCAGAATACACATCCTTCTCAAGTTCATACTGAATATTCCCCAAGAATGATCACATTGTGGGCTACGAATAACACATGAACAAATTTTAAAGAATAAAAATTATACAGTGTATCCTCTCAGACCACAATAGAATTAAACTTGATATCAGTAACAAAAAGATAGCTAGATGACTCTAAAATATTTGGAGATTAAGCCACACATTTCTAAATGACACTTAGGTCAAAGAACATACCTCAAAAAATTTAAAAACATTTTTAACTAAATGAAAATATAACAAATTGTGGAATGCAGCAAAGCATTGCTTATATAGAAATTTGTAGCACTGAATACAGATATTAAAAAAGAAGAAAGACCTAAAATCAACAAATCTAAATCTCCATCTTAAGAAATTAGAAGAAGAAGAGCAAATTAAATCCAAAGTAAGCAAAGAAAAGAGAAATAAAATTTAGAAAAAAATTTAAATCAAAAATCAATAAAATTGAAAACAAGAAATCAAAAGAGGAAATCAACAAAACCAAAAGCTGTTTTCTTAAAAAAAGATCAATAAAACCGAGAAGCCTCGAGCCAGGTTAAATAAGAAAAAAAGAGAGAAGACACATTACTAACAACAGAAATGAAAGAGGTATTATCACTATAGATTCCATGGACATTAAAAGGATAATTAATATTATGAAGAACTATATGCCCACAAATTTTATAACCTAGATGAAATGTACCAATTCCTTGAATACATTATCTGCCAAAAGTCACAGAAGAAATATACAATCTGAACAGGTCTATTTCTATTTAAGAAATCAATAGTGAATCAAAGAATCAATAGTGAATAACCTTCTAAAACAGAAAACTTTGTGCCCAGATGAGTTCACTGGCAAATTCTTCCAAGCATTTAAGGAAGAAATGACATCAATTCTCTACAAACTCTTCCAGAAGATGGAAGCAGAAGGAATACTTCCTAACCCATTCTATGAGGGCAGCATTACTGTAATACCAAAGCCAAAGACATTATAGGAAAAGGAAATTACAGACCAATATTTCTCATGAACATTGATGCAAAAATCCTCAGCAAAATGTTAGCAAGTTGAATCCAACAATGTATAAACTGAATTATATATCTCGACCAAGTGGGATTTATTACAGGTATATGAGGTTGGCTCAACATTCGAAAGTCAACTAATGTAACCTATCACATCAATAGACTAAAGAAGAAAAGTCACACGAACATATCAGTAGATGCAGAGGAAGAATTTGACAAAATCTAGCACCATTTCATTACTAAAATTCTCAGAAAACTAGGAATAGTTGAGGAAGTTTTCAACTTGACAAAGAACATCTACATAACTATTACTCCAAAAAAAAAAAAAAAACCTACAAAAACCTACAGCTAACAACATACTTAATAGTGAGAAACTCAAAGCTTTCCTACTAAGAAGGAAGAAGGCATGGATGTCTCTCTCACCACTTCTTTTCAACACTGGACTAGAAGTCCCAGCTAAGACAAAAAGACAAGAAAAGGAAATAAAAGGTATATATATTTGGAAGAAAGAAATAAAACTGTCTTTGTTCACAGATGACATGATCATCTATGTAGAAAATCTGAAAGAATCAGCAACAAAAAACTCCTTGAAGTAATTATACTAATTACTAATTATAGCAAGGACACAAGATGTAAGATACATCTTGTATGTATAAGATAACATACAAAATTCAATCACTTTTTAAAAATACCAGCAATAAACTATTGGAATTTGAAGTTAAAAATGCCACTTATATTAGCAGCACCAAAATGAAAAACTCAGGCATTAATCTAACAAAATATGTCAAAGATATACATATATGAGGAAAACAAACAAAAAAACTGATGAAAGAAATCAAAGACTAAATTAATTAATGGAGAGATATTCCATGTTCATGTATAGGAGGACTCAATACTATCAAGATGTCAGTTCTTCCCCACTTGATCTACAGACAAGGCAAACCCATCAGAATCCCAGCAAGTTATTTAATGTATTTCAACAAACTGATTCTAAACTGATTTATATGAAGAGGCAAAAGACCCAGAGTAGTTAAACATCATATTGAAGGAAAATAAGAGTATCAGAGGATCAACATTGCCTGACTTTAAGACTTAGTATAAAACTACAGTAATCAAAAAACAGTGTGGTATTAATGAAAGAATAGACAAATAAATCAATGGAATAAAATACAGCTCAGAAGTAGATCCACACAAATATAGCCAACTGATCTTTGACAAAGGAGCAATGCAAATAAAATGAAGAAAAGATAGTCTTTTTAATATATGGTGCTGGAACAGTTAGACATCCGCATTTAAAAAAAAGATTTTAGACACATACCTTATACACTTTATGAAAATGAAATGAACATTGACCTTAAGCCTAAATGCAAACTGTTAAACTATTAAATGTCTGAAGTGAAGTGAAGTCGCTCAGTCGTGTCTGACTCTTTGTGACCCCATGGACTGTAGCCTACCAGGATCCTCAGTCCATGGGATTTTCCAGGCAAGAATACTAGAGTGGGTTGCCATTTCCTTCTCCAAAATGTCTAGACAATAAAAAATGAGAAAACCTAGATAATCTTGGGTATGATGATGATGACTAATTTTTTAGATACAACACCAAAGGCATGATCCATGAAAGAAAAAATTGGTAAGTTGCACTTGATTAAAATTAAAAACTCCTGCTCTGTGGAAGGACTGTCAAGAAAATGAGAAGACAAGCCACAAACTGGGAGAAAATATCTGCGAAATACACATCTGATAAAGGACTATTATACAATATACAAAGAACTCAAAATTCAACAATAAGGAAATGAACAACATGATTAAAAGATGAGCAAAAAATCTATACAGACAACTCACCAAAGATATATAGATGCACAAGAAAAGATGCTCACATCATACATCACTGTGAAATTTCAAATTGAAACAACAAGATAGTACCACATACCTATTAGAATGGCAAGAATCCAAAATATTGACAACACCGAATGCTGGAAAGGATGAGGAGCTCTCTGTGAATGAGGAACTCTCATTCATTGATGGTGGGAATGTAAAGTGTTACAGCCATGTTGGAAGATAACTTTGGCAGCTTCTTAGAAAACTAAACATAATCTTATCATACCATTAGCAATCATGCTCCTCAGTATTTACCCATATAAGTTGAAAACTTATCTTCACACAAAAACCTGCACATGGGTGTTTATAGCAGCTTGATCCATGACTGCCAAAACTTGGAAGCAATCAAGATATTCTTCAGTAGGTGAATGGATCAGTCAACTGTGATATATCCATATAAAGGAAATTCAGTGATAACAAGAAATGAGCTGTCAAGCTATAAAAAGCCATGCAGGAATCTTAAATATACATTCCTAAGTGAAAGAATCCAATCAGAAATGGCTACACACTATATGATTTCAACAATATGACATTTGGGAAAAGCAAAACTATGGTGACAGTTAAATTATCAGTGGTTGCCAGAAATTTGAGGCAAGGGAGGGAGAAGTAAATAGATGAAGAGCAGGGAATTTTAGGGCAGTGAAACTATTCTGTGTGATATTCTAATGTTGGATACACGTCATACATTTGTCAAAAGCCACAGAATGTATAATACAGAATGAACCCTAATGTAGACTATGGACTTTAGTTAATAATAATAATGTACCAGTATCAGTCAATTATAACAAATGTACCACACTCATGCAAGATGTTAGTAACACAGGAAGATGGGAGGTCATGAGGGAATAGATGGAAACTCTTGGGACTTTCTGATCATTTTTCTGAAACAAAAACTGCTTTAAAAAGTCTGTTAACTTAAAAATTATAAATTTTTAATGAATTACATATATTAATAGTTATACAATTTGGCTTAGTAATTTCATATTTGTGAATCTATTTGGAAAAAAAGCAGTCCAAAAATCTAGACCATAATACAGGAATTTTTTTCGCCAGAGTGCTCACTTTAGTCTTTTTTAAAAAATAGCAGGATGGGGGGGACACAAGTACACTCATGGCTGATTCACGTCAATGTATGGCAAAAACCACTACAATGTTGTAAAGTAATTAACCTTCAAGTAAAATGAATGAATTAATTAAAAAATAGCAATAGATAATAACTACCTCAAAGAAGGTAACAGATAAAATAAATCACCATATATTTATTACAGATTATACATCTATTAAAATGATGTGAGTGAAGAGCTTATAAAAATATTTAAATTACAATGTAATATGAAAAGAGCAGAGCACTAATGAGTGTTTGTGATATCATTAGAACTGTTTTTCAAAAAGCAACAGGCTTTAAAAATTTGGAAGGAAAACATGTTAGCAATTTGTAGGTAGGTGGCAGGATCATAGGTGATCTTTCCCTTGTGCTAAATCTTTAATGAATATGCATTATTTTTAAAAAGAAAAAAAGTCAGGAAAAAGTGTATGTTAATTAATATTTCCTTGTGAAGTGTTATTTTGTGGTTTAGATTTTGTGAAAAATAAGTGAGAGAAAAGCAAAAAATATGGGACACCTCCTTCACGTATTTTCACACCTTGTCAAAAAACACAAACTTAACTTACCAGAAAAGTGGTTCAGGGAACAATATCTTTGACTGAATCTTTAGGGTTCAGAAAGTATATGAGAGAGAGAGGGAGAATGTATGGGACGAGAGGGAGAATATATGCGACGAGAGGAGAGGGGAGAGGATTCAGGGTGGTTGTAGGTTGTGGCTGATGCCTGCAGAATTCTCAGGACGGGTTTCACATATGTAGGCACTTAATAAACAGCTCTTACTGGTCTCTTGAGAAACACTGGAGCCAGATGAGCTCCAAAATTTGTTGGATTTTAAAAAGGTAACACAAGAAATATCCCACATGTTGTGAAATGCTCCCAGCAGGTATTTATTCAGTGGGTGGGTATTCAAACTGAGTGGGAACACTCAACCATTACATGTTTGCCACTAGATGATTGTGAACTTTTATTATTATCCTTATTATTCAGTCCCTCTGAACCTCAGTTTTCTCATCTATAAACGCTCAGAAGTATCCCCTTCTCTCCTGGGAAAAGGGGCTGGGCTGACCAGGTCCCATCCATCTGGGGTGTTCTTACCTTCTTCTGGCCCTAGCTTCACTGTGTGGGATTCGTGCAAGATCTCTGCCACTGGCCTGCGGGTGTAGAGGATGGTGGCACCACTCAAGTTGACTTGGACCCGCTGGGCCCGGGAGGTGAGGCTGGTCAAGCACAGGGCCAGCTTCAGGTCATGGCCCAGCACAGGTGGCTCCAGCACCTTGAACTTGCCGGTGATGCTGGGCTTGGTGGCAGGCTCCAGGAGGTCATCACGCCAGAGACCACGGCCGCCCCCTCTGCGGACCCGGGCCCTCCTTCCAGAGGCTTCCACACTGAACAGCTTCTTCATGGCATTGCTGTACACCTGCCTCTCCTTCCGGGACCCTGCAGGGCGTGGGACAGCATGAGGCAGGCACCCTCTTCTCTGCCACCTGTCCCAGGGCCAGCTCTTCTCATTCCCCTCTTCTCTAGGCACAACCACTACTCCATCCCCACTTTAACTTACCACGGCTGTCGGAGGTCTCAAACTGGCAGCCCAAGAGCCATATGCAGACCTCAGCATATGCATTGTGTTTGGATCTGGGACTACTTAAATAAATTTTTAATCAGTTACCAACGTCAGATTAGAAAATTTCACATAACAATAGAGTTTGGTAGCCCTCTGACATATGGATGTGAAGTCCATATGATAAAGATAGCTGACACTTTTGTAGACTTACTATGTGCCAGGCACTGTAGTTCTAGATGATATATATATATATATATTATATGTATATATATATTTCCTCCCTGTCTCAGGATGAAGGTACTATTATCATCCCAATTTTACAGATAAGGAACCCAAGGCACAGGAAATGAAGAAGGCTTGTAAGAGAGAGCGAAAATTTGAACCCAGGCAGTCTGGTTCCAATTTCTGTGTTCTTAATCACCCCCTCTTCCCAATCTCTACATGGCAGTCATAGTCTCGAGCTGAGGAAGCTGTGCTTTCTCCAGATGGGAACATACCCGCTGGTTCTCCACAGTCTGCGCTTGTGATTCTCCTGCTGGTTGTCTGCCACACTGGGGTGCTGTCTGCAAGCTGCTGAAGACATGAGCTTAGGGTCCCTGATCTCCTACTTTCCCTGTTGCTAGCACAGACCTCTCTTCTCTTTTTTGATCTCCAGACCAATATATGACTGGTCCACTGGGCCACTTCCACCCCCGGGATGTCCCACAGGCGCCTCCAACCCAACCAAGTATGCCATCTTCTGCCTGGCAGCATTCCCATGTCAGCACATGGCTCCACTGTTTACCCAGCATACAAGTCAGAAGCTGGACATGTCCTTGACTCTTCCCCAGCCTTAGTACCCACAACGGGTCAGGTGATAAATTCCGCCCAACATCCTCACTGATCTCTGGAGTCTGCCCCCTTCTCCCCTCACTGCTTTCCCCTCAGACCACCATGTAAACGGTCTCACCCTCAGGTCAGTTTGCCGCTAGGTGACTGTGAACTTTATTATTGTTTACAGTCCCTCCAAGTCTCCATTTCCCGTCTATGAAGTGAGGAGAAGAGGCGCACAGGTGAGGCCTGGGCTCAGAGCTCAGGAATGTTCCTCCCTTCTGGAGGATGTGGGCTCCACGTCCACTCCAGTCTTTTTTCTACCCTGATCTGTTCAAGACCCAACTCTGACGCTTCCTCTTCCTTGAGCTTGGGCTGTGCTCCTTCCCAAACCTTCTCCCAAGTACCTCCCTCCTGTGTGGCCTGGGCTTGAAGGGACTCGTGTGGACCTAAAGTTTCTTTAACATGTCATGTTTTATTATTAAAATTTTTGTGAAGTTTTCACTTTACTCCATAATTTACTTATAAAATATTTTTACTAAGAAAATGTTTCCTTTCTCTGCCAAAAATTCTAATGTGACTTTCTCAGGGAGGCCTTCTCTGACCACCCGATTTTTTAAAAAACAGCTTTATTCAGATATATGTTAATTTGCCAACACACAATGTACAGATTTAAAAGGACACAAGCCAATGTTTTTTTAATACATTCACAGAATTGTGTACCCATCACCACAATCTAAATTCATAACAAGTTCTGTCACCCTTAAGAAACTCTATAACCATTAGCAGTCACTTCCCATTCCTCCCTGCCCTGCCCCAACACTAGGCAACTGGTATTTTAATTTCTAATTTGCCTATTCTGGGCATTTCACATAAAGGGAATCATACAATGTGTGATCCTTTGTGACTGGCTTTTTTTTTTCCCCTTAATATTTTTAGGGTTCATCCATATTGTAGTATATATCAGTACTTCATTCCTTTTAATTGCTGAATAATATTGCATTATTGGAGAGGGCAATGGCACCCCACTCCAGTACTCTTGCCTGGAAAATCCCATGGATGGAGGAGCCTGGTGGGCTGCCGTCTATGGGGTCGCACAGAGTCGGACACGACTGAAGCGAAGAGAAGGCAATGGCACCCCACTCCAGTGCTCTTGCCTGGAAAATCCCATGGATGGAGGAGCCTGGTGGGCTGCCGTCTATGGGGTCGCACAGAGTCGGACACGACTGAAGCGACTTAGCAGCAGCAACAGCTTTGCATTATATGGACAGACCACATTGTGTTTATCCACTGATGTTAGGGTTGTTTCCACTGTAGCTGTGTTAAACAATGTTGCTATGAATGTTCATGTGGAAGATTTTGGTGGATGCTTGTTTTCATTTCTCTTGGGTGTCTATCTGAAGTGCACCTGCTTGCTGGTGTGGTACTCTGTGTTTAAGTTAACATTGTGAAGAACTGTCGAGTTGTTTTCCAAAGTGTTTGCATGGTTTCACATTCCCACCAGCAGTGGGTGAGTGCTCCAGTTCCTCCACAACCTCACCAGCTCTTACTGCCTGTCTTTTTGATTACAGTAGTTCTAGTGGATGTGAAGTGGTATGTTGTTGTGGCTTTGAATATTATTAATGATGTTAAGCATAATTATTAATGATGTTAAGCATCTTTTCATGTTTTTTGGTCATTTGTATATTGTCCTCAGAGAAAGGTCTGTTTAAATCTTTTGCCCATTTAAAAATTGGGTTATTTATCTTTTTATTATTGAGCTATAAGGATTATTTATACATTCTTGATACAAGTCCCTTATTAGATACATGATTTGAAAATATTTTCTGTTCTTGGGCTATCTTTTTTCTTTCTTGATGGCACCATTTGTAGTACAAGTTTTTAGTTTTAATGAAGCCCAATTTATCAATTTTTATTTTGTCATTTGTGTTCTTGATGTCATACCCAAAAAGGCTCTGTTAAACTCAAGTTTATAAAGATTAACTCCTGTTTTCTTCTAAAACCTTATAATTTTAGCTTTTTGATATAGATCAGGGACCCATTTGAGTTAATTTTTGTGTATGGTCTGGTGTATAAAGCCAGGTTTATTCTTGTGCACGTGGATAAGCAGAGGTCCCAACACCATTTATTTAAAAAGGCTATTCTTATTCGCTTTTCACTGAATTGTCTTGACATCCTGTCAAAATCAATTGAGCATAATTATAAGGGTTTATTTCTGGATTCCTCATTCTTTACTATTGATCTGTATATATGTCCATTTTCATGACTGTATCACACTATCTGGGTTATTGTATATTTATAGTAAGTTTTGAATTTGGGAAGTTTGAACTCTCCAACATTATTCTTCTTTAAGATTGTTCTGGTTATTCTGGGTCTCTTGAATTTCCAAGTGAATTTTAGAAACAGCTTGTCAATTTTGGTTAAAAAAAAAAAAACTCAGCTGGAAATTTGATAAGGGTTTCTTGGAGACTGTAGGTCAATTTTGGGGCATTGCCATCTTAAAAAAAACTTTCAGTCCATGAAAATGGGAAATCTTTCCATTTATAATTTCTTTCACTAATGCTTTGTAGTTTTCAGTGTACTAGTCTTGTTCTCCTTTTGTTAAATTTATTCTTAAGTATCTTATTCTTTTTTTGCCATGCTGTGTGGCTTGCAGACCCTAAGTTCCCTGACCAGAGGTTGAACCCAGGCCCCACCAGTGAAAACACCAAGACCTAGCCACTGGACAAACTGCTGGGGAATTCTCAAAGTATTGATATTTTATTCTTTTGGATACTATTGTAAATGAACTTGTTTTCTTAATTTCATTTCAGATTATATATTTTTAATATCTTGAACTACTATTAATTTCTAAAAATTGATTTTGTTTTCCATAATTTTGCTGAAATCATTCATTGGCTCTAGTAACTTTCAGTGGATTCCTTAGAATTTTATGTGTACCAGATTATATCATGTGTAAGAGATAGTTTTACTTCTTCCTTTCCATTTGGGTTTTCTGTATCTATTGAGATGATCATGTGGTTTTTGTCTTTTTTTCTATTGTTATGGTATATTATATTAATTAGTTTTTAATATTAAATTCATCTTACATTCCTGCAATAAATCCCTTCCTCGTGACATATAATCTTTTTTATATGTTGCTGGATTCAGTTTGCTAGTATTTTGTTGACAATTTTTGCTTCTACGCTCAGAAGGGATATTGATCTCTAATTTTCTTTTCTTGTGATGTCATCATCTGGTTTTGGTATCAGGGTAATACTAACCTCATAGAACAATTTGAGAAATGTTCCCTCCTCTACTATGTTTTGAGGAGAAGTTTGTGAAAAATTGGCATTTAATTCTTCTTTTAATGTGTGGTAGAATATTCACCAGTGACATATGGGCCTGGTCTTTTTTGTGTGTGGCAGGGGAGTTTTTAATTACTACTGCATTCTCTCTACTTATAAACTTATTCAGATTTTCTAATTCTTCCTGAGGCAGTTTTGGTAATTCTTAGAGAAATTCGTCCATTTTATCTAAAGTTATCTAATACATTGGTATATAGTTGTTCATAGTACCCCTAAGGAACTGTTTTATTCACAACTCTTCTGACACCAAATGTGTGGTAGTTTCCCATGCATACACAAAAATGAAGGGAGGGAGAAGGGCACAGTACAGAAGTGGAGAGACAGATAGCAGACTAACAGAGAGGGAGGGAAAGGGTGGAAGGGGAGTTCCCTAGGGGCTGGTCCCTGGGTCTCTGTAGATCAGCCTCTGAGCTCCAGCCCCACAGTCACTGGATGCACTGTCCTCTGGCTGCCTGGCCTGGCCAGGGCCTGATCAGCATGTGCTGGGTCTTCCCACATCACAGGCTGCAGTGGGCAGAATAGTGTCCCCGTAAATGGTATGTCAAAGTCCTAATCCCTGGTACCTGCAAATATAACCTTATTTGGAAATAGGGTCTTTGTAGATGTAATTAAGACTCCTGGGATAAGATCATCCTGGATTTAAGGTGGAACTGAAACTCAATGATTGATGTCACTGTAAGAGAAAGGAGATGGTGATTTGAGACACATAGGAAGAAAGGAGGAAAGCTGGAGGCAGAGACTGGAGTGATGCAGCCACAAGCCAAAGAACAGAGGGGCCACCAGCAGCTGGAAGGATCAAGGAAGGAATCTCCTCTTAGAGACTTTGGAGGGAGTATGCTAACATCTTGGTTTTGTACTCTGGCCTCTACAACTGTGAGAAAATAATTTTCTGATGTTTTAAGTAGCTACATTTGTGGTAATTTGTTATGGCAGTCCTAGCAAGTAATATGCAGGCTCAGAGGCAGATAGCTGAACGGCCAACCTGGCTCCCAAGTCCCTGGCTCCAGCCTCTAACTGAGATCTTGCCTCTGTGCTTAGAGCCTCTGACTAAAGATCAGTGGGGGGAAACTGCCTTCCTCCGCTCTACTGTAAAGCCTGTTGCAGAAAGTTCACCTGAATCTGAGGACAGCCAGTGTGTTCTTTGTAAATACAGTTTCCTTTGATTGGAAAGCTGGTTCTTCTTTGCTCAGCATCCAGGCTGACTCAGGGGTAGGGACAAAGCACATTGCCCCAGGGGCTCTGAATCTTTATGCTTCAGTGGATGGAGCAAGTAGACAGGCCTTGCCATTTCATCCATGGAATGGGATGCCTGTGGTTTGGATGAATAGCACTGCTTAGAGTGAATCTGGAGTCAGGATGCAGAGGGTCCTGTCTTCCCAGAATGCCTTCCCAACCTTCATACTCTTCATGAACTCTCCTCCCTGGCTGGATTAGCAACCCTTTCTCTATGCTTCTTCAGCCTTCAGGCCTCCCCTACACTGTGCTGATCACCTTGCACTGTCCTCACACTTACCAGATGGTGAGTTCTCTGGGCTCTTCTCTTTATCCCTTGCCTCTGAATCATGCCTGATACTTAGGAGGTGTTTTATATTTCCGGAATACATAAAAGAACCTGGCACAGTGCATGGCACACTGGGGTACACATGGAAGAGACAGCAGTCTAGCAGAGTGGAGGAGCAGAGGCTCTGAGATTAGACAGAAGCTCTAGTTAGTGCCCTGCTCTTCTAGGCTTTGGAAACTTGGAGAAGCTACTTAACCTCTCTATGATTCAACTTGCTTACCTGTAAGATGGGATATTTATGAATATTAAATGAAACAAGTCATGGACATTGCTTACCACAATGCTTAACACAATTTAGATACTATTATTTGCCTCGATGTAAAATCACCTGCCCCACGGTGGGCAGTCAATCAACAGTAGGTTATCTTATAATTAGATAGTGCAGCCAAGTGTAGAGGAAGAACATCGTTGTGTTCCTTGGCTGAGTCCATTTTCCTCTCTGCACCTCTGCCTTTCCCTCTGTCAAATAAACGTTATACAAGTGTCTATCTTACAAGCTTGTGGGAACTTCTTTGTAAGCATTTGTTAAATGAAAGCATTAAGTAACATGTGAACATGGCCAGCCCACAGTCTGCACTCAGCACTGGTGACTGCTGTTATTGTCATCACACAGCAGGATGTTGATTTCTCTTGTGGCCATGGCTGACGCTTAGGACAGAAGGTCCCAAAGACCTTGTATTCTAAGTTCTAGAAACTCCCAGCAGATGGGACCAGGTGTCAAACTGCCGGACGTATGAGAGAAGTAGGAGTTGAGAAGAGGCCTTGCCACATACTGCCCCTCTGCTCCCCACCCCGTGACAGTGAAGAGGCCTGAAGAGGAGAAGGTCATCAACGTCAAGGGCCGTGTTTCCAGGGAAGGAACTGAGGGAATATGGTAGTGTGTGTGTTTACGTGTGGATGTGTGTGCATGTTTGTGTGGGGAGGTGTTTACAGACAGAATCAATGTTAAAGTTTGGGGTGTTTGCAACAAGAAGGAGCTGGCTGGTAAAGGCTGGCAGTGCTACAGAAAGAGGAAGCTGGCATTTCACTCTGGCGTCATTTCATTTCATTCAGCTCCTTACTGAGCTGGGTGTTCCCTGAGCACAGAGGAGAGAACTGAAGGAAGACGGCAGCTGGATCATGGCCCGTCAAGAACTCTCTCCCCACCAGCTTCTGAGGGGGACACAGCAGCTGGATGAGTCTGGAAGCCACAGCTCTCCAGAATCTGGGGACAGAAATGATCACGCATCAGAGAGAAGCTGTGGGACGGCCAGAGGGGTGGGAGGGGTCTGCCACAAGAGAGGCCAGTGTCTCAGGAATCAGCAGTGCCGGGGGCTGGCACAGGCATGAGTCCCGAGGCTGCAGGCCGTGACAGAGCCACCACCTGTCCTCCCAAGGCTTCGGAGTGAGTAAGACAGCAGCACCCGCCTGCCTTCGGGCCTTGACTCCTTGCAGCATGAAGTCAAAGGCATTTCCTCTCTCCTCTCCTCCTTGGCCTAACACTAGAAGACTCACACTGGTGTTCTCAATTTGGCTGCATATTGGAATTGCCTGGGGTGCTTTTAAAAGTCCTGATGGCTGGGCCACACTCTCTAGAGACTGCAATTCAGTTAGCCTGGGTGCAGTCGGGTTGCTGTGGTAGGTTAAAATGGCCGCAATACTTTCTTTGCAACTCTTCTCATCAAGAGGTAGAGTATACTTCTTGTCCCTATCATCTGGGGTGGTGGTTTATTGTTTGACCAACAGAACGTAGCAAAGGTAAGTTCTAAGTAAAGCCTCAAGAGACCCTGTAGCTTTAGATGTCACCCACTGGGCATACTGGAGGATGAGAGGCCCAGTCGGCCCAGCAGTCCAATCTGAGGCCCCAGACTAATGTGAGAACCCAGTGGACACCACGTGGAGCAGATGAGCCACCTCAGCTTGATAGACTGCCCAAATAGTTGACCCATAGAATCCTGAGCAAAAGGGTAACTGTTGTTCAATCTGTATAACTAAGACTGTACCCTGGGTGACTTTGATGTACACCCAGTGCTGCAAACCACCATACTAGAGGGGAGATAGTGGAGAGTTGGAGGCAGCCTGAGCACATGGTGTCCCCTCCTTATACAGCAGTCTTCTGGGGTCACCACCCCAGTTTGTGCTCAGAGGAGGGGAGAAGACTAGCTCTGATTCAAGTTTGAACTTGAAGTCTTGATTACCCAAACAACGTTCTTTTAACAGGCAGAAATGGCTGAAAAATGCACAGTAAGATCACAGCATTATTAAGGAACCTGTTACTTAATGGGAAAAGGTGACTTTTAAAGTTTATAGCTGGAGGCAGATGATAAACAGGAGTTACTATTATTATTATTTGGTAGGGCCTACTGCTATGTATCCTAAGTGTTCAATAAATAATACATGTTACTATCATCACTATTATTAGTGATTATTATTATCACATGTCAGAATACCTGACACAGTACATGCAATATATATGTTAAAGGAAATGTAGCTATTGATATTGTCAGATGTGAGAAATCTCTTTAGTAAACAAAGGAATATAAGCTAAATACACTTGGCTCAAAGCATAGAGACAGCGCCTAACCCCGCTGTCACCACCACACCTTATGAGAAAGGGCCTGGCCATGTTGCCATCTGCAGCAGCCTGGTCACTGAGGAGGCAGATGGAGGCCGCTATGCGCCCTTACCTTCCGGATACTTGTAGAGGCTGGTGATGTCCACGCGGGAGTCGCTGCCCACCGCCTTGGTGCTGATGCACCGCCCGATCTTCTTCGTGTCTGAGTACACACGCTCCCGGCTCTCATCCTCATTCCAGAGCCAGGTGATGTAGTCTGCGTTGACCTCGGCAAACACGAAAGGACCATCGTGGGCCAGATGCACGTCGCCCTCGCGGATGGCGGTGACTGAGGCCGGGCCACACCGGAACACCCCTGCGCAGGAGGGGTGGGCGTGAGCATCTCCACGGGTCTGAAAGCTGGAGTCCGGGACCCACCCGGCTGAGCCCGTACCTTCGCTCTCCTCCTGGGGGGTGGCGTCCAGAACCTGCCAACCATTGTAAGAGGGGCCTAGGTCCTGCCGGGCAAACCAGCTCTCATTCCAGACATGGAAATTCCTGCCGCAGAGAGAGGATGGGGCAGGGTGGCCTCTGGTGAGCAAGAGAGGTTCCCCAGAGAGGGCAAGTGCCTGCTGCCGGCAGACCCTGGGCCCTGCTCTGTGGTTGAGTTTGTGAACCGTCATTCAGCTGTATTGATGAATACACATCATTCACACAGGTACAGGCATTTTTATCCCATCTCAGTCACTTTATCCCGCTTTATAGATAACTGTGTTGTTTTTTTATTTTTATTTTTTACAAATTGAGTGTTTATGGCAACCCTTGTCTGTCTCACCTGTTTTCCCATCAGTATTTGCTCACTTCGTGTCTCTTTCTGTCACCTTTTGGTAATTTCTGCCATATTTCAAGCTTTTTCATTATTATATTTTTTATAGTGATCTGTAATATTTGATGTTACTAGTACAACTCGCTGAAGGCTCAAATGATAGCATTTAGCAATAAGTATTTTTAAAATAAGGTATTTATATTGTTTTTCAGACATAATGCAATTGCACACTTATTAGACTATAGTGTAAACATAACTTTTATATGCTCTTTTGGATTAAAAAATTCATGTGACTCACTTTATTGTGATATTCACTTTATTTAAGTGGTCTGGAACCTAACTGGCAATAGTTCCAAGGCCTGCCTGTATGTATGCATAAATATGTCTATATCTATATCTAGATCACCTATATCTATATCCTGTTGTTCAAGGTCCAAAAATACAACAGCAAATAAGACAGAAGATCCTTGTTCTCATGCAGCTTACATTCTAAGGAAGGAGACAGATAGGAAGACAGGCAAAATTAAGTAAGCAGATAAGAAAATAATAAAGTAACAATAAATAAATAAAACAGTAAAGTAACAATAAATGCTGTGAAGAAAGAGAGGAGCTTGAGATAGAGAATAACTTCTGGAGATCTTCTCTAAGTAAATGACAGCTAAGATGGGCCTTAGAGAGGAAAGAATTAGTCATAGGATGAGTGAAGGGAACAGTGGTCCAGGCAGAAGGAACAACATGTGCAAAGTCTCTTAAGACAAGAAAAAACTTAGTGTATTCAGGGAACAGAAAGTATGTGTCTTTGGGCTGTGTCAAGCACTAGGGTAGGTAGGTTTCAGATTATGCAGAGTTCTTTAGGCCTTGGTAGGGACTTTAGGCTTTAAGTTTCCTATGTTAAAGATGAGAATATGAGGTTAGGAAAATGACACCATTTGCACAAGGTCACACAGTAGGAAGCAGCAGAGAGAAACCCTGATTGGCCTGAGTTGGTGTCTTTTGTCTTTACAGATGGCCTCCAAACTGGTCTTTGGGAAAATATTATAAAAAGCCTTTGGAAGTAAAAGGGAGAACATGTATAACCTGTATGTGACAGAGATCCCAATAACAAAAGAATGGCCTGTCCATTCTGCATAAATAAAGAGAAGAATGAAAATGTTTTTGGTGCTACTGCAAAGAGAGGGAGTGAAAGGAACCAAAAACAGGAGAAGAAAAGGGGAGAAGAGAGGCAGAGAGATGGTCTGAGGCTGCACGCCAGCCTGGGGGGCAGGGGTCCTGGGCATGCTCCCCTGGAGAGCTGAAGGACATCCTAAGGAGAGGGATGCTGAGGCTGGCTGTGTTTCTTTCTATACTGTATGCTCTTCACTATTCCCCTGCTCTTTAGAAAGTCGGTTTTTCTTGGCAACTTGCACAGGTATGAACAGACATTTGGACAAGGTTGTTCATGGAAGCCTCGTTTGTAAAGGCAAATGTTTGGTCTGGCCACATGAGGTGGTTAAATAAGCAATGGTTTGCTGTCCAGTTGAAAAGCAGGCCAGGTTTGTAATTTCTCTTCCACTCACTAGCTGTGTGGCCTTAGGCAAGTTACTTGATCTCTCTGTGCCTTGGTTTTCTCATCTGCAAAACAGAGACAACAATACTACCTTGCTCACAAGGTTGTTTGGAGGAATACATGAACTTGTACACAGATACGACTTTATTTTTTTGGGCTCCAAAATCACTGCAGATGGTGATTGCAGCCATGAAATTAAAAGACGCTTACTCCTTGGAAGGAAAGTTATGACCAACCTAGATAGCATATTAAAAAGCAGAGACATTACTTTGCAAACAAAGGTCCATCTAGTCAAGGCTATGGTTTTTCCAGTGGTCATGTATGGATGTGAGTGTTGGACTGTGAAGAAAGCTGAGCGCCGAAGAATTGATGCTTTTGAACTGTGGTGTTGGAGAAGACTCTTGAGAACCCCTTGGACTTCCAAGGAAATCCAACCAGTCCATCCTAAAGGAGATCAGTCCTGGGTGTTCACTGGAAGGACTGATGCACAAACTGAAACTCTAATACTTTGGCCACCTGATGCGAAGAGTTGACTCATTGGAAAAGACCCTGATGCTGGGAGGGATTGGGGGCAGGAGGAGAAGGGGACGACAGAGGATGAGATGGCTGGATGGCATCACTGACTCGATGGACATGAGTTTGAGTAAACTCCGGGAGTTGGTGATGGACAGGGAGGCCCGGTGTGCTGCGATTCATGGGATCGCAAAAAGTCAGACACGACTGAGTGACTGAACTGAACTGAACTGAACACCTTGGAGATCTAGTGGACTCAGTTCCAGACCACTACAGAGATGTGGATAGTGCAATAAGGTGAGTTACACAAGTATTTTTGGTTTCCCAGTGTGTATTGAAGTTATGCTTGCACTATGCTGTCATCTATTAAGTGTGCAATAGCTTTCTGTCTAAGAAAACAATCTACATACCTTAATGAAGCTGTTGAAAAAATGATGCTGATAGATTTGCTTGACACAAAGTTGCCACAAACCTTCGATTTGTAGAAAAATGCAATATCTATGAAGCACAGTAAAAAGAAGAGTAATAAAATGAGGTAGGCCTGCATTGCAGCACTTAGAACTGGGCCTGGCATAGACTGTGCTCACTGAGTATGGTGTTGTTAAGTTTAAAACAATATAAAAATAAGGAAACTTTGTATGTACTGATATGGGGTTGTTAAATGTAGAGCAAGATGAACAGTATTACAGTATGTTGCTGATATTAAGTAGGAGGGGGAAGAGGGTGCGTGGGGACTGTGCATATGTGTGTCCCTGTATCTGCAGGGCTTCTCTCTGAAGAGATGTAAGAAACTAGTTTCAGCCTTGCATCCAGGAGGATGGGGAGGCTTGAAATGGGGGAGGGAGACTTAAACACTGTAGCCCATTTTGTACCTTTTGAATATTAAAGCACTGAATGTATCTTCTACTTTAAAAAAGTTAAATTAAGATGAATTTTGTGAAGCTTTGTGCAAAGAATTTTGTTTGAGCTGAGAGAGGAGCTTGTTTCCCACACAGCATAGTGCTCAAGCAGCTGACAGAGAGCAGGAGCAGGCTACAGAGGTGACCCTGCAGAGGCAGTCACGTCGCACGAATCTAGGGGGTGCTCAGAGTCCTGCAGAGTAGAGACCTGGGGGTACAAGGTCATTCAACCTTGAGCCCCGTTCTTGGCCTCTGAGTTACATGTCCAGAGCCCCCTGTATCTCAGAAGAAGAGTCGTCCTGTGGAGACCAACCCCTCCTCTGCAGGGTGCCTGCCGCCCCTTCCAGAACTGGCTCAGACCCAGTGGATCTGGGCTGCAGATCTGGGTGGGCCACAGGGTGCCCCTGGGACCCAATAGCTGGGGACTCACCACATGCTGTCTTCCGTCAGGTCTTCCAGTGTTCGCCCGAAGGAGTCCACGTACTTGTCCACACTCAGGTTCCTGTCCGTGTCATGGGCCGAGTTAAAGTTGGACACAACCCGCGTCGCGATCCCCAGGCACCTGAGGACTGAGGAGCAGGACACTCACGAGGCTCCAGGACCGGCGGGGGCCCAGCCTCAGGGAGGGGCGGTCTGGCCTCCCCTAGCAGGCGGCCGGTCCCACGTCTGGCCAGAGCCCCCTCCCTGGCTCTGCCAGGGCTGACTCCCATCTCCAGGCTCAGAAACACCTCCATCTCCTGCACATTCTCCCAGGGGACTTCGAGAGTCATCACTGCCACCCCCATCTGAAGCTGACAGGACCTTGGAAGCTGTATAATAACCCTTTAATAGTCGTAATAGCCCATAAGGACTGGGGGCCCGGGACCACAAGGCTCTCTCAAAGGCACTCAATGAGCTTGAGATTCCTCAAAGATCAAAAGTTGCATAAGTGAAGGATCTGGTTTCTCTCTTCATTAACCTGTCTAATAAAGATATTTTTGGTGTGGGGGAGGGACTCGTATGAAGATACACGCAGCCGAATGCAGTTGAGTTGACCGGGGGTTGGGGGGTCTTCTTTCTTGGGGTACCTGTGCACAAGACTCCAGCGAAGACCCAGCACTGGCCGTATCTGACTGGCTTGAACCTGCCCTTGAACCACTTGTGCAGAATGGCCACGCTGCCTCGCCAGTGCAGGGGGCTGGTGCCGCCGCCGTACTTGCCCTGCCACTGGCCTTGGACCACGCCCCGGTCGTTGTTGCTGTTCACCTGGGCAGAGGAGGCCACCAGTCCACCATCTGGCAGGGCTCCCCCCTTCAGGAACTTCACCAGCATAAAATCTCCCACTTTGGGCCACCCATTTATTTGGGGCTACTCCTTTCTTTTAAACTGTCTGAAAATTGGGGCCATCTGCTGTCTTAAAATACTTACCTTTTGGTGTCATTTATCATTTTCAATTACCTTCCTTTGGGATGTTCTATTGTTGGAAATCAAATACAGTTTTTGAGCATTTCTTGTCTTAAGTGATCTGTTTTTGGGGACTGTTGGTGGTAATAGTTACAGAGACAATTTGTTGCTGTGGTTTATAGTCACTAACTCATGTCTGACTCTTTTACAATCCTGTGGATTACAATCTGTCAGGCTCCTCTGTCCATGCGATTTTCCTGGCAAGAACACTGTAGTGGGTTACCATTTTATTCTCCAACGGATCTTCCTGACCCAGGGATCAAACTCGTGTCTCCTGCACGCATCTCCTGCACTGCAGGAAGTTTTTTCACTGCTGAGCCAAATGTTTACTATGTGCCAGCCACTGTTCTAAGGGCTTAGTACACACTATATTAATCTTTTAAACCTATGATGTAAATTCTATTATCTTCCTTTTTTTCAGATGAGGATACTGAGATGCATAGAGGTTAGGGAACTTGCTCAAATTGCACAGAAAGTTAGAAAGAGGTGACCTGTGAGTTCAGGACTTTGATTTGGGAGCCTGTCAAATCCCACGGGCTTGTAATGCTCTACTGTTTGGGACTGGTCCCTGTTTTTGATTTTCTGTACTCCAACATCTCTCTGAAATCTTGAGGAATTGATAATATCAAATATGAAAAAAACAGTTTTATCTGTTTCTGGAATCACAGATACCCAGGCACTGACTTTAACAGCTACTTGCTATAGAGAGAGTTAGTAGGCCCTCTGGCTACCTTCTGAGGAGGAAGCACTGGCCTGTAACAGATTAAAGATGGCACTCTTCCCACAGCAAGGTGGTTCCATGTTCCCTCTCCCTGAATCTGGGCTGGCCTGTCACTGCTTTGACCAAGGACCATGGTAGAAGTGATGCTGCACCTGTTCCCAGGCCTAGGCTTTATGAGACTGGCAGCTTCTACTTCTTTTGAGAATAATCGCTTGGGGAGGCACCAGCTGCTTTGTCTGATAACCCTGAGACTGCCATGCTGTGAGGAATCCCAACTAAGTCACATGGAGGCACTACAGGGAGAGACAGAGTGATGACTGGCCAGCCCCAGCTCATACAACCATCCCAGCCCAGGGGCCAGACATGAGAGTGAGCAAGCACCTGGGTTTTCCAGACCCAGCAGACACGGCATGGAAAAGAACCAAGGAAACACTGGCTGCTGGAACCAATGCCCTAGATGTGTAGCCCCCACAAACCATCTTGGACATCTTCAGGCATTCAGACACCCCAGCTGAAGCATCTTGGAACAGAGATGTTCTGTCTTCCCAGTGCCCTGCCGAAGTCACTGATTTGCAAAATTGTCAGCATAGTAAATGGGTGTTTTACACCACTGAGTTTTGGGGTGGTTTTTTATGCACCAAGAGAGAATTAAAACAAGAGGTGACGGGAAAAATCTTAGGGTTGTTCCTGGGGCTTGGCCTGGGGACCTACGAAGGCAGGGATGGTGGGGCTCCTTACCATGGCGCTGACAGCTCTGGTGATGTAGATGGGGTCATGGCGGTGGGACACGTCGGTGGCTGGGTCGTCTTGGTAACTAGGGGTTCGGTCCAGGATGGAGAGGCAGATTTTCAGGATGTCCTCCTCAAACTGTCCCCAGAGAGGCTGCTTTTAGAGGTCAGAGTCACACTCACACCTCAGACCCTCTCACAACCTCCCCCAGTCATTTGTGTTGGGCAAGGGAGCCTGCCTACACTTCCTGCCCCCCATCCCCTCCAGGGACACCACAGAGGATCCCCAAGTCTCAAAACCCTCCTTCAAAGAGTTACCAGGAACCAGATGCTCAGCCATAATCACCTTTTTCCCCATGATTTTTAAAAATACACTTGAGTTAGTTGATAACATTTAAGAACCGGGAGATTTTTCACATACAAATTAAGGTTTCTGGTCTTTGAAAATTTGGAAAGTCTGGGAACCCTGGGCTGATTTTCCCACGTGTTGAGATGGTGTTAATCCTTAGATGGAATTAAACCTTCTGATATGTCATCCCTGCCCAGTCCCTGAACCCTCAAATGCTTTCAACCCCTGCCCCTCAGCCTGAGAGTCAAGGTTCTCTACTTGCCTGGAGCCACCTCAGACCTAATGAATCAGCAACTTGTTGGGGAGGCACATGGATCCCAGCCACCTGTATGTTTTAATGAGCCCTCCGTGTCCTTCCTGTCCACACTGAAGATTGAGAGCCCCCGGTCTAAGCTATTTATGTACCTCCACTTCCCAAGGACCCAGTGCAGGCCCTGGTACAACTAATAGTAGAGACTGGATAAGTGGACTTGGTCTAAGAGTCGGTCTAGCTTGTACCTCTTGGGAAGAAGAGGACACACAGAAGGACTTCTGCACTTACTCTTCTCATGTCCCCAGCCCTCCTTCTGCCTCTCATGCCTCTCACCCCCCTTCTGGTCTGGGCCCCTGGAGACCTGCCCGAAGTTCCAGCCTTGGGCTCGGATGCGCTTCTCCACACCGCGGAAGATGATCCCGCTGTCGTTGAGCACATACTCTTGTCTCTCTTCCTCTGAGTCTAGGAACACATCGTCCTCTGAAAGGCAGTGGTCAGGCCTGGTGTGAGGGATGGGAAGGTGGAGCCCTGGCCTCACCGGCCTGGGGAAGGGGCTACATCAGGAATCAGCTGTAGGATGGTGCCTAGAGTCAGCTGGAACAGGAGCAGGCAAGAGGAGCTTGCCGACTCCCAGGTTGCCCCCTGGCCAGGCCCTATTCCACCTGGCTGGTCTTTCCTCAGGCAGGGACCAACCCCACCCCAGGCCCAGATGGAAGGAATTTAGGAGTCCTGATGTCTTTGGATAACCTGACCTAATGCCAATTACATATTAGTAAGAATTGTCATTCAAGTTACTGCTTACTGACTTAACCCTTAATAAGAGTACTGACCCCAGTATCCCTTATGATATACCTTGCATTCTACAAGCATTAGCTCTATGGATTCTCACCATAACCCTAATAGGTAGACACTGTTATTATTCCCGTATTACAGATGAGGAAACTGAGACTCACAGAGGGCAGCAACTTAGCAAAGCTGAGACTAAACCAAGGCTATCTGATGGCTAAAGCCTGGTACTTACCCACTTTTAGGTCTTTCCTGCCATTAAGCCCCATCTTTGCCCCCTGGCCTCCACACACTAATTCCTGTCCCTCTGACACAGAAGCTTTGGAGCATCTGCTACCAGCTTCCTCTGCCCAGGCCTGCCCCTACCTGGGCTCCAGGCTCTTGCCAGGCCTTAGCACTCATCCCCCTGTGCCCTAACTTACCTCCCAGACTTCTCTGAAGGACAGTTTCTGGGAAAACCTCAGCCTCAGACTCAGGAGCTCCTACCTGGGCACCATGGGTTGAAAAGGAGAATAAACTCGCCCAGCTTCCAGTCATTATGTTTGCGGCGAGAGGAAACCCTGGCGCTCAGCTGGTAACGGCCAATGATGGCATTAGGAGGGCTGGCAAGGCTGAAGGTCGTGGTGTTTTCTGTCTGAGCCTCCTTCACTGCCATCCAGGTGTCACCACGCTCCAGCTCTGATGTCTGGAACACGGCTTTGGTGCGGAGGGCCTCAGAAGCCTGGGGTCCTGGCAGAGAGGAGAGGGAATCAAGAGAGCCAGTCGGCTCCAGGAAGCTCAGCTCTGGAGAAATGGAAAAGCCACAGGCCCAGAAGGCCAACCTTCAGCACCTGAACTGCTGGACACTGCTGTGGGAAAGGACCTGACCAAGATGCAGGAGGGCCAGGGGCAGAGTGGAGTCCACGCTGGCTGTCCTGACTCCTGCCCACTTTCCAGATCAAGGAGGAAGTGACAAGCCTCTCTGAAAGCAAAGAGTGCTTGAGGAATTTCCATACCTTCCCAGAACCCTGGATTTCTTGGTGTGCATAGAATTCCAGAGTTGTCATCTCACCTGTCCTACTGCCTGCTGGCAGCACCTTCCAACCACCCCCAGAAAGCTCAAACCACCTAATAGGGACTTGTTTTCTGCAAAGTCTGGGCTGATGACCACAGGGTTTCAAGTTGCTGGTCATCAGACCCATCTTTAAGACTGCAGATTAGCAGCAGAATGCACTGACCAGTCAGGTACCTGTCTCCACGGTGAAGATGAGGGTCTCCTCGCTCTCCAGCGGTCTGTTCAGCTCCAGTGTGAAGGTGAACCTCTGGCCCCTGCGGACCACCAGCTCAGAGCCGGGGTACTCCTGGGTGTGGTGTGCCGTGCCGTTGCTCAGCAGCTGCCAGTCCACCTCAGTGACTCTGATCCCTGGGCAGGGAGAGCACAGGGAGATGGGACCCAGCTCTTGAACATTTCCCATCACGCCTGGCTCACCTTCCGACAGCTTCAGCCTGCCTGTCGTTTGCTCTTGGAGTCACTGTTTACCAGGTACGGTAGTTTCTGGTAAATTGTGTACCAGAAGTAGTTATTCTCGGTTGTTCTATAGTGAGTTGGGTTGTTGTCCACTGGGCTAAGCTCTGAACTAGCCAGTACTGAACCCTTGTTCCCCAGTCGAAAATACAGGGCTTGGTTCCTGTAAGCCTCTGGTCACAACTTTTTCATCAACTGAACAAAACATAAACTTGTTTTATGTGTTTCTGTTTAAACACATCTTATTTAGTAAATTGTTGATTCATTAACAATGAACTCATGGACAACAGCACTGGAATTAATGCCTGAACAAAGCTGATCCAACACATATGTTTTCTCCACAAGGCACGTCACACCTTCCTGTGCTTAGGAATACTGGACAGCTCTTCAGAGCTAAACTTGGAATCATTTTAAACAGCAAAAATCAGCAACAAAAGGGACAAAAATGCAAATTACATAGCATCATATAGACCATGAAAGCCACTTGTCTGAGAGCTGAAACAGCAAGGCAGAGTGTGCTCATCTCTGGAAGGTACTCAATGAACATGTCTAGGATGAATGGAGACACCAGGGCCAAGGGAAGTGAAGCCACTTTCCAAAGGGCACACAGTCAGGCTAAGGCCAGAGTTGAATCTGTGAGCTGGTTTCCTACTTTTGACCACTGGTCCACTGGCTTTCACACTGTTTCCTTCATGACCCATTGAAGAAATAGTGTTACCTGTTGCCACAGTGCCTGCAAACATATAAGCACGTTCTGCTGCTGCTAAGTCACTTCAGTTGTGTCCGACTCTGTGCGACCCCATAGATGGCAGCCCACCAGGCTCCTCTGTCCGTGGGATTCTCCAGGCAAGAATACTGGAGTGGGTTGCCATTTCCTTCTCCACTGCATGCATGCATGTTCAGTAGCTTCAGTCGTGTCTGACTCTGTGAGACTCTATGGACAGCAGCCCACCAGGCTCCTCTGTCCACGGGATTCTCTAGGTAAGAATACTAGAGTGGGTTGCCATTTCCTTCTCCAGTAAACATGTACAGATATAGATAAATTGGAAGTTTCACTAATATTTTCCCTTATTTATTATGATGAGTAATGAACGCTGAAATTTTATGTCCCTTTCTGTCAAAGCTCTTGAGCCACAGACCACCAGGAACACAGTAGAAATTGAAGTAGTCTCGTGGCAGTGAGAAGGCTCCAACCCCCTGGGGAGCCAGGATGCGCTCAGAAAGGGGGTCCTGGAGAGGGGTTACTGTGGGATTTGGGCTGTTTTTAGGTGGTTTTGGTGAGAGTTGAAGGAAGCAGGGCTTTGATCTGGACTGGATGCTGTCAGGAAGCAAGACAAGTCTATGTTTATCTTAATTATTCTTATGTAGCATGGAGGCTGACGCTGTCAGTGGTGGAGTGGCAGCATTCATTAGCCAGAATACAGGGGCGTTTACTCATTCTAGGGTGTGGACAACGTTCGTGCTCTCTGGTTTCACACAGGATTATGGAGTTATCTTTTTTGTCTTGACCTGTCACGGCCGCATTACATTGGTGGTGTTGGTGTTCTCTGAAATTGCTCATGTTCAACAGAGAACACCATGGCCAGCTCTCAACTTCACTGAAGCCTGACTGACATGCTAGGCTGGTTCTTGGATTCCATGGCTGCTTTTCTCTTTTGATTTTTTGTCCTTTTAAAAAGTTGACTTTGCTACCTATTTGACTCATGGCCCACGATGGGTACCTTCTGCTGTTTGGCAAACACTTAGTAACTGTCACAGTCACCTTGTACATCCTGGCCTCCCTCTACTTAGATTTCAAACTTGGCTACACATTGGACACCTGGGAAGCGGGACCAATCCTGCTCTCTGGGTCCCTTCTTTAATTAATCCAGAGAGTTTCTCGGGCATTGAAATCTGAAGACTCTCTTCAAAAGTTTGCAATTGCAATCTTGGTTGAGAATCACTGGTCTAGAGCCCAGAATCTCATAGACTGAGGACTTCTGAGAGAAGAGTCCTCCTCTATCCTCTGACACTCAGCATCAGTGGCACAGGAAACATCATTAAAGAAAGATGGGGCCTTGCTCTTGAAGCAGCTTAAGTTTAATCCTTATAAAGAGCCATTTCTAGTGGGGGTAGTTCAGGGGGTGGCACTGCTCACGGGAGATTTTTGGATATTTGGATGAACTTTGTTTGATTTTTGCAATGATGGCTTTTAGTGAAGATAGACAAGATATCAGACACCTGAAGTGCCAAGACTAGGACAGTCATTGCAAGTCCCATGCATCATTCAACTGCCTTGCTGGATATACATATGGAGAAACCTGTTTATTAATATCTGAGCCCAAAATCCAACTCTGTTTTCCACATATATATTAAGTTTTGGCTTAAAATCTGCTGAATTCATTAGAATACAACTATTGTGTCAATTGAAAATTGCTCTTTATATTCTTTGGAACTTTCCTAAATTCTTCATTCTAATTTTGGAAAGTCTTGACACAAATGTCAGTGCTGTGTGCGTTGAGTCCTCACACCAGACCACAGAGGTGAGTCTAACCTGTTGCTGTTGAGTCCACGGTGCTCCAACACACAAGGTAGCATCTGACCACCTCATGTCTTCTGGTTAAGTGTCAACGAGCATTTAAATAACTAGGAATTCATTTCATTTACCTTTTATAGTTAGGTTGTAATTTTTTGAAAAGTGATGCATGAGGAAGGTAATATTCATTAGTTTAACTTCAGGGCAATGAAGGGACATTCTAAAATATTTATAATAATAGGAGGGTATTAGGGACAAGAGAGTTGATGTTTTCAATATCTGCTGCTGCTTAATAAATCAGCCCATAGCTCAGCAGCCCTTTGAAAACAATAAGCATGTATTACCTGTCATGGTTTCTGTGGGTCGGGAATTCAGGATAGGCTCAGGTGGCCAGTTCTTGCTTGGAGTCCCTTGTGCAGATGCAATCGCTTGTCAGCCAGGGCTGCATTCATCTGAAGGCTTGACTGGGGCCAGAGGAGCCATTTCGACAGTGGCTCCCTCACATAGCTGGGAAATTAGTGTGGGGAGTAGGCTGGGGACTTTGCCTCCTTTCCACACGGGCTTCCCCATGGCACCATGGAGTGTCCTCATGGCACCTGCTTCACCTTGAGCAAGTGTCCAAGAAACCGAGGTGGAAGCTACGATCTCCTTTATAACCTAACCTTAGGAGTTGCACATTGTCACCTCTGCCGTACACTGTTACAAAGGTCTGCCCAGGCTCAAGGGGATGGAACACATCCTACCCCTTGATGAAAATGGGTTTATGTTACGTTAGAAGAACATGTGAGGTGAGATGTATATTGATATGACCATCCTGTAAACACAATCTGCTACAGTTGAGGAGCACTGAAGTAATATCAAATATTCTCTGCCAAAGGGAGCCTGCCACAAGACTCTTGACTTTATTTTATTTGGTGCCTAGCATATAGCAAATGCTCAGTAATTGTTGACTAGACTATTGGATAGCTTTTATTTGCTAAAATTTTCCATGAACCAAGCACTATTCTAAATGTTTTATAAATATTAGCTGATTTAATCTTTGTCAAACCTATGGGGGAGGTATTATTATTACTATTCTGACTCCACAGATAAAGAAACTGAGGCCCACAGTCACAGTCTATTAGTGATGGAGCTGGAAATCTGGCTTCTGAGTCTGGGCTAAGTTGCCTTTACCTTTGACCACAAAGGAATCACAAATTCAGAAGCCCCAGACTCCAAAACACAACATGGTCTTGGACCATGAAAATCAGAGTGGTGGCTCATCTGGGCCAAGGTCTGGAGAAAGCCAACTAAAGTATTTGGCTTTTTAAAGACTTTAGGATCTTCATTTAACCTTTTGGTTAGGGAAGTGACAGATTGTTTCCAAGTATTATCTCCCACCCCACATACTCTTTTTAAGATGACATCGATCCTCTTCTCATCAAGGAGGGAGGACTTGTGGCTAAAGTAGAGTTACAACATGCAGACTTCCAAGGCTAGATCATAAAAGCTGATATAGCTTCTGCACGAATCCCTCGAGTTCCCTTGATCTTGGAACTTAATAACCACACCATTAAGAAGACCAAATGGCCCTTGGGGAAGCCCATGTGGAGAGAAACCAAGGAACCTATTCCCCACCCCTCTCCCATTTTCCTGTTTCTGAGTCCTAGAGTAGCAAATCTTAGAGTCATTAAGACTAGGGTTAAAATCCTAGGTATGCACTGGCTTACTGTGTGCCCTTTAGCATGGGTTAACTTCTCTCTTCCATAAAATGGGTATGATAATGGATTTGTCTCAGTTTCAATAATGAGGTTGAATAAGATGAAGTGTGACCAGAACTCAGTACATAGGAGGCGCTCATTAAATGTCCATTTTGTTCCTCCTCCTGTTACATGACGTAATGGTTAATTTTATGTATCAACTTGGCTGGGCTGTAGTGCTTAGATATTTAGTCAAACATTATTCTAGATGTTTTTATGAAGGCGTTTTTTTGGATGGGATTAACTTTTAAATAGGACTTCCCTGGTGGCTCAGATGATAAAGCGTCTGTCTACAATGTGGGAGACCTGGGTTAGATCCCTGGGTCGGGAGGATTCCCTGGAGAAGGAAATGGCAACCTGCTCCAGTACTCTTGCCTGGAAAATCTCATGGACGGAGGAGCCTGATAAAGCACATTATCTTCTACTACTTAGGTGGGCCTCATCCAATCAGTTGACAGCCTCAATAAAACAAAGACTGACCTCCCCTGAGCACAGAGGAATTCTACCAACAGACTGCCTTTGGACTTGAACTGAAAGTCTTCTCCAAGTCTTCAGCCTACCAAATTTTGGACTTGCCAGCCTCCCTAAATATGCAAGCTAATAATTACTTAAAGCAAATCTCTCTCTCTCTCATACACACACAC